CTCAGATATCAGAGCCTGGGAGAAAATAAGATTTCCCGTCCTAGAAAGCTTCCCAGACTGGCATAATTCAGGTAATAGAAATGAATCGGGGAAATTTTAAAACATACACTTAACCAACAGTTCACATGTTCTCCACCTAGCGTAGACTGACCACTTAAATCTTAATTTATAAATGACTAAATTATTCCTCCTAGAAGCCAAATAATAATAGCTTTAATGTACCTGTCTCCCTAATGTTACTGAGAAGTAAGAGAATTGCATTTATGCCTTGACATTGCAACTTAAAATAGTTTTGCATGTTTTCACTTTGTAATTTGAGGTGACTTCAAGACTCGGGACTTGTAGACATAAATTTCAAGCTGTTTCTTTATTTGACATAACTGCAACCAGGACACAGAATGAGTTAAACACCTAGTAAGTCTCTCCCCCTCCCTTTTCCTTGACCAAAAGCACAAAATACCCTTTTCTGTAGGGTAAACCTGCTGCTTCTAGTTCTTCTTTTGGGAGGGAAGTGAAATGGTCTTCTTAAAGACTACCTGTTTGATTTCTATTAAGTTCTGACTCTTCTAATCAATAATGTCTTTGCTGGCTCTCCTTGAGGCAAGATTTTGTGTAACGAACTTACTCCATTAAAATGACCACATTCTTTACTGACCCTTGAATATTCAGAGAGAAGTGGAACAGAAAATGCTGAGGAGAGAATTAGGTGGTTTTATTTCACTTGGAGTGATTTACTTTATTTTTTTTTTTTAAGATTTTACTTACTAATTTGAGACAGAGAGAGAGCACAAGCTCTATCCCAGGACCCTGAGATCATGACCTGAACCAAAGGCAGACGCTTAACCGACTGAGCCACCCAGGTGCCCCTAGAGGGATTTACTTTAAAAATGGACACCAGAGTTGGGAGGATGTGGGAGTCAGAAGGTAACGTAAGAACCTGAGAGGAAGGGGAAGATGGAAACTGGACAATTTTTGTTCCAGTCTTCTGGTCTTTCCTGCATTCTTCACTTGGGTCACCAGAGATAGAATGCCTAGGGCCTGTCTCAGACAATTGATTATGATGTCTGATCTCCTCATTATACCCAAACTATCTAGATCTCGCTTTTGGCATATATTATGTTCTGACTTGATTTGTGGTTTGGGGCATGTTTGCCAGGTTTCTCCACTTAGCTTGCTAACTCATTAGCAAGAGAACAATACCCCTGTGTCCTCCTGCACTGCCCAACACAGAAACTAGCTTATTAGCTTACAATACCTATTGATTACTGTAGATGGATTCATTCAAGTGGTTTTCCATTTTCTTGTAGCTAGACTTACGAAATCAAAATCTTAAACATACACTGATCAAAAACCAGCCTAGTAATAGGTATCTTTTTAATCTTCCAAATGTATTTCATTCTAAGAAATCAAGTCAAATCTACTTTTTCCAGAGGCAGGTTAATTTCACAGTTAACAGCAGGCTGAATGACCCAATAGTTGGAAAGGGTGAATTAAATAAGTCTAATTTTTTTGACTTTGTAAATACAGTTCCAGGATATCTAGTATACCTGTCAAAGGAGTGGAGGGAATTGAATATTTTAATTAAATATTTTAATATGTTGCAGTTAATTGTTACTTCAAAAAGCCACAATATTAGTGCCTGAATCACTGAATATTAATGCCTGAAGCAATAGTAGTTTTTATTCCAAGACCAGAAGTCTATAGATATGAGGTTGTTTGTTTGGTTAAGCAGCTCAACAATGTTAAAAATAGATGCCTGCTTTTTTTTTTTTTTTTTATCTTTCTGGTCTGCTACCTTCACTGTGTTGACAGTATCTTTTCTCATGGTTGCAAGACGGATGCTGTGGCTCCAAGCATCTAATCCTCACCAAAAGCATCCCAAAAGAAAGGAAGTGGTGTGTGTGGGGGGTGGAGGGACAAGAGAGCTTTATTCATGGGCTGGGTTGGACCCCAAAAGTCTTGCCTAACTAAGTTGGACAAAAGGCATAAAGAACCCCTTGGACTCAGATCAATTTTGCTTTAACTTCCATTCACTCCAGAAGCAGCTAAATAATAGTGCAACAGTGGTCTAGAATGTGGGTGCGTAGAGAAGGTTTCCCATTACCTCCTTTACCCCTCATGGAGGGGATCCTGAAACTAAGTACTCTTGGCAGGTGACAAAGAATGACACATCTGCAAGAGAATGGTATTCTGCATCCACTACATTTTATAACCTCAGCCACTTCAGTGCAAAGACAACTCAAAATGCCAGTAAGACAGTACGTTTGCTACTCAACCCACCATGGCACTCAGATCTAATGCATAGGTTTGGAGACTTGAAAATTTTGTAGGGTCTGCCCTAGAATGATCTCCCCCTCTGTGGAGGCTAGTTCACCCCTTATGTCTAGGAATTCATCCCTTACATCTGAAGGCTTAGTAGCAATTGAGTTGGTGAAGGAGGGAGTGAGGACTTTGGACACAAGGAACAATACATGTAAAGCCATGTTGGTATGACACAGTATGATCTGGCAGTGATGGAGGGGCTGGAAGACAGGGCCTGGGAAAGGAATGGGAAGAGGTGAGACCTAAGGGAGCTGGGAGCCATGGGCATGCAGGAGGATCCATGCAGGTAAACACAATGTGCCAGGAAAGCCCAGAGGAGGAGTGGCTGGGCCAAGAAAGGCTTGCACAGAAGTCTTGGAGCTGGGGCCCGCGCAAACCTGATGGTTAGCCAGGACCCAGGGGTACAGACGTACAGGAGAGTTATGCCTCCGCCATCCCAGTTCTTAAATATTGTGAATATTGCCTCTACTCTGGAGGGGTTGGTGAAGGATTCCCAGACAGAGAAGGGGACAAGGGCTTTCCAAGGAGAGCTTATACAAAGGTCATCAGAGAAGAAAGAGATGGAAATGCACAGAGAGGGTGAGGCCAGGGGCATGGAGGGGCCGGACGATGAAAGGCCTTCTGTGGCGGGCAAAGACGTTTGCGCTCCATCCTGTAGGCCTTAGAAAGACCAAAATGGATAGACCTGATCCTGCCCGTCCAATCACCCCCCTGCAAAATGAACCCCTAAGTCAGCCCTAGGACCCAGGATCCTTTTATCTCTTAGTGGTCAGGACGTTTGAGAAGGGAGGGGGTGGTGGTGAGACCAGACTTGGCAAAAATAATGGTGTCGTGTTTTATTTCTCTTAAAAAGAGAAAGGGAAAAAAGGAAAGAAAGGAAGAAAGGAAAGGGAGGGAGGGGAGGATGGAGGAAGGGAATAAGAGAAGAGGAACAAAGGAAGAAGAGAAAAGGTCAAGGAAAGAAAAGGGCAGTGCAAACCAATATGGCAGAACTGACAAGATTTGTCAAGGCTGGATAATGGATACAGAGATTATTGTCATTATGGGTATTGACTTGTTACGTGCTTTCCCACTTGAGATATTTCATTTTTTCAAAAAGGAACACAGGTGGAAACGTAAATAGATAATCCTTTTTCTGCAAAGCTTTTAGACACAATGATATCAAAACACCTAAAAATTCTTATTTTTGACCCAATAGTTCCATGCCAGGACATGCTGGTGAAGGTTTATATACAAGAAATCTATTTTCTATTGCTTCAAGTGCAGTGGCAACTTGTTTATCCCGGGGAGGGGCGGGGAGAAGGGTGGAGATGTGCTAAATTAACTTCCCAAATAAACAAGCTAGTTTAATAGAAGTCTTCCCCAAAGACCTTGTACCTGTCCTGGTAAAATGAGTAGAGTATTCTGAAACACAACTAAACTTTTTCTTGATGTTTTATTGATATAATTAGCAGTCAAAGTACATGTTAATAGATTCATTGATCCAAAAAGCTGTTGAGGTGTGAGAGGCTTTTTGCCTCTACACACTTTTCCCATAGACAGCTCATTTCTCTGCCTCTGTTCTTCTGTTCCCTTTACACTTGGCTGTCATTTCTCATTACTCTTCACCTGAAATCTCATTAGAAACCATCCATCTAATCAGAATAATACACAACAAAACCAAAACCAGATAACCCAGTTTGTAGACATGGCATCTAAAGTACATCTTATGTCTGAACACAAAGGCGTATTGGTATCTCTCCAGCCAACTGGTGTACTTCTTAAAGATGTTCTTTCTTGGGTCCAACCTCAGCCCCTCCTAATAAGAATCTCTGGATGCTGTAAGCACTTCATGTAATTCTAATGAATACTAAAATTTGAGAATCACTCGCTTATGGATTCTCCTATGAAAAAAAATATCCGTGAACTCAAAGCCACGTATATAGGGCCAACAGGTTGTTTCAACAGTCAGTCTGCTATGTAAGGCTGGATGTGTTCAGGAGTCAGATGACTTGGTCCCTGAGCTGTGCTAGGTACGAAATATTCTGAAAATCACATGGGCTTGGTGACTTTTTTTTTTTTTTTTAACTTGGGTCACTAGGGTGGATGGGGGGGTTGGATGAGGTTTACTTCCCGGGCCTCTCTGTCTTCAGGTTAGCTGAGATTTCTGACAAGCGGCCCTTGGATAATTAACATCTATTTGGTCTCATGACCTGGGGAGAAATAGGGTAATATTTACTCATATTTTCCAAATATGAGACTGTCTTCACAGACTGTCTTCTATAGACAAAATAATGTGTTTGTCAGAGATAAATTGGCCACACCCTCTTATTATGACTTAACCCTCTGGGACTGAACATTAATAGTTCTTATTATGCTCAACTATAGTAAATTGCAATATATTTATTGCACCCTTATTTGTTTTTATCAAAATGCTCACACTCATATTTTGTATGTTCATAAAAAAGTTATAAAAGCAGTATATACATCTACTGTTTCTTTCCTTTAAAGAGAAGATTTGTAGATTTTTATCTTGAATTTTAAGTTAACAAGACTCCAAATGTCTTAAATATGCTGATGGTCAACTAAGCTAAACAGGCATGCACTAAAAGGATAATGGAACATGAATACCATATTTAGAAGTGTCTTAGTACCAGTCACAGCCTCAAACAACAACAACAAAAAACCACTCCAGAATGAAAATACTGGTATATTTGTATAATGCAAAGAGAAATACAGATATAAATCCTCAAAACAGAAGGTACATTAATAAAAATGTAGCATTATAAGCAAAAAATATTATACAGTACTTGCAGAATTTAGTCTTTCCATTTAAGATTACAATGTGTCTAACAAGTATTTAAAATTATGGTTGTCATTATTAATTTAAAATATCCATCAGATGAACAGCACAGCTTAACATAGCAAACATTTTAAGGAAATGCTTTGTCTTGTAGAAGTAGAGTATCATTTTATTCCATTCATTTATGCCGTGAACAAAAGAAGAACAGTTTTCAAAGTGGAAATTAGTTTCATAAGACAGAATAAAACTGGGCTTCTCAAAGCACAAGCTGCTTCCATAAACGTATTTTAATTGTTATTGGCAAAAAATACCTAAGCAATTCTGATTCATACTCTGCTTCTCAGAGCCTTCCCAATCCGTGAACCACAATCAGTACAAAAACATGCAATACTGTATATTCTCCACACCATCACTAACCAAAACACTTTTACTCTTTTAAAAGTTACAATTTTACAGAAATGTTTCCACTCAAGATTGGTATAATACAGAGAGCAGTGGTTGCTGATGTATATTTTCTAGTTGTACAAAGTAAGGTAGGAAACAAATCTTGTTACTTGTTACTGCTTAAAAAAACACTGCCTTGCTACTTTACCCTCCCATTTCTGCTCTTTAAATTCATTATCAAGACGGAACAAAGTTCAACGAACCAGGGCAGCGCAACTGACCCCACGGCCGGCAATTCAGAGGGAACTTAAGACAATTTCCCCCCTTTCTTCTGCTTCCAACAGAAGACCCTCAAGAAATCAAACTTGTGAAGTCCCCCTAGGTTTCTCTACTTCACTGCAAAATGTAATGCCACTTGAGGTTGTCAAAAATAGCTTCTGTAGAAAACTGGCCATGGTCTTTAGGAAACGTTGCACGAAGAAAATTAGTTTAGCCTTTATTAAAAAAAAAAAAGGAACACATGGAATAAAATACGTCAGTCAGTACCAGTACAGACTCCAAGGCCTATTGTCAGGATGAAAATATACTAAGTAGGACAAATGCACGGAGCTGGGGTGGGGCTGGAACATCGAAACCCATCCCTCCCCACCCCCGAAAAAGTAGTCTCTCTGTACAATCCAAGTGCTTATCCACGTTGAGAGTCATTTCGAAGGCAGCTTAGAAAATTAATAAGGGGGCAGAAAGGGGGGAGACGACATCACTGTCTGAACCAAAGGGAAAGGCTGGGTGAGGCGTACGTGGCTGGCGAGCCCCTCATAAGCCAATGCCTTTCAGGTCGCAGGGGAGAGAGGCCTGGGTGGTCTGGGGGCTCTGACAGCAGGGGAACTGGGCCCTGAAGCAGTCCCTCAGCTCCCTGTTAAAGAGGAAGCACACGACAGGGTTGATGCCGGCCTGGGCGAAGGTCAGCCACACGGAGGCCGTCAGGTAGGCCTGGGGGACGGCGCCGGGCCGCACCAAGACCCGCAGGTAACTGGCCACGACGTAGGGCCCCCAGAGCAGCAGGAAGAGCAAGGTGACGGCATAGAACATCTTGCACAGCCTCTTCTCCGTCTTGAACTCCTCGAGCACCAGGAGGCGGCGCGCGCCGCGGCCGGGCCCCGCGGGCCGGATGCCCACGAGCGCTGGCGGCGTGGGCCCGCGGCCGAAGCCCGCTGTCCAGTTGGCGGCCGCCTGGCCGGTGGCGCCGGGGCCGTGGAAGGTCCAGTCGTGGCTGACGGCGGGCACGAGGCGCGCGGGCCGCATCTTGCGGCGGTCATGGATGAAGAAGAGCAGGCGGAGGTAGACGAGGTGCGTGGCGCCCACGACCACGGCCAGAAGCAGCAAGAAGCCGAGCGCGCCGGGGGCGCCGTCGGGCCGCTGCTCCAGGGCGCACGGCGCGTCCTCGTCGTCGCCGCCGCCGCCGTCCAGCACGGGCGGGAAGGCCGCGGCCAGCGCCAGCGCCCAGGCGGCGCACACCAGCATGGCGGCGCACGGCCAGCCGGCCAGGCGTTCGGCGTAGAAGCGGTGGTGCGCTATGGCCAGGTAGCGGGTGACGCCCACGCCGAGCAGCAGGAAGGCGGCGTGGAAGCAGAAGAGCGCGGCCAGAAAGGCGAGGAGCTTGCAGCCCAGCGCGCCCGGCGGCGCTCCCGCCGCGGCCGCCGCACGCCGCGCCGCCAGCATGACGGCCGGGAGGCAGGCGAGCGCGCGCAGCCCGTCGGCCAGGCACAGGTCGAGCAGCAGGTAGTACGGGGCGCGGTGCAGGCTGCGCTCCCGCACGATGAGCAGCGCGAACAGCACGTTGCCCGCCAGGCTCACGCACAGCAGCAGGCTGAGCGTGGCCAGCTTGAGGCCCAGGGCGGCCGCCTCGCCGCCGCCGCCGCCGCCGCCACCGCCGCCCGGCTCGCTAGCGTTCGCCATCGCGGCCTCTCCAGGCCGTGCGCTCCGCTCCGGGGCTCCTCCCGGCCTCGCCGCTCCCCAGGCCGCCCGGCCCGGGTTCTGCCGCCGCGCGGGCCCTCGGGCGAGCTCCCGGCCGGCGGGGCTCAGCCCGCGCCCGGCTGGCCCCTCCCGGGCTCTCCGAGCCGCTGCCGCGCCGCCGCCGCCATCTCAGGAATGATGCGCGCAGAAGGCGACGGCCACTCCCTGCACCTTGGGCGCCGCGGGCTTCACTGCGGACAGGGCCGCGCCGCCGCCCGCAGCCCCCCGCATCCTCCTCCTTCTCCTCCTCCGCCAACGCCGCCGCCGCCGCCGCGCCTCTTGGCTCTGCCCCCCGCCGGGCCCGCCGCCGCCGCCGCCGCCGCCGAGCCCCCTCCCCTTCGCCGGAGCGCGCAGCGTGGCCGCCGCCGCCAGCCCCGCCGAGGCAGCCCGCGCCGCCGGGCC